AATGCTCCTGCTGATCATCAGTTCTCCTAAGAGCTATTGCTCTTTACCCCATGGCACCTAAGGGCTGCTGCAGGGTTACAGACCCCAGCAGCTCAGGCACTGCAGCATCACTCAGTGCATATTTCTTCCAGAGATTTCAGCGATATGGATTGGAATCTGTTTTTCCTGCTGGATGTGCAGACTAATCCAGGACTGAGAGTCCTGTGTCCTCGTGTGCCTGGGAGGCTCAGACAGCTAATGAAGCCGTGGTACTGACATGCATGGATGTGAAGGGGTGTCTCCATTCTGCACCCCAGCTGAAGAGAGGCTGTTTGGATGCTTTTTGGTGTAATTCAGCTGAGAAGCTGATGCTGTGCCCTGTGCCAGCAGCCTCTCACCTTGCTGCGCAGGAGCCCTCCGCTCTGGTGCTCGGGGGTGCTGTTCTCCGAGGCGTTCTTCACCTTCTCCTTGCTGTTATTTGGCTCATTGTCTTTGATGATATCGTACTGTCTGCAAAACAGGGCGATCACCCCTAACAGGAAGAAGCATTAATGATCACACAAATGAGCTCAGCCCCTGGAGCCTGCTGAGATCCTTTGCTTGCCAGCCGGCTCTGTGCCTTCCGGTGCAGATCTCAGCAGCATTCACAACTGCTCCTAAGGATCATTTTCTGACACAGCTCATCAGCCCTCTGGCTGTTTCCTTCTTGAGGCCTAATTCTGTGCTGAACTAGTGAGAAGGACAGAAGATTAATTCTGTTCCTACTTCCCTGTCATTAAATGGGATGAGTGTTTCCAGCCCTACGTTTTGTTAGCAATCACCACTAACTGGGTGCTTAAATGGGATTTTTGCTTTGCAAACACAGGAGCTCCTGGAATTTCTGGTTAGTGAGAATGTGTCCTCTGATCCTTCTCCCCTGGGGTGAAGAGAAGGAGCTGGGGCTGGGGATGAGGGGCAGGTACCATTCCTGCCTCTGTGTGATGCAGCCAAGGCCCTTGCAGCAGCAGGACAACATCTGCAAATATGCAACAGTGACGGCAGCAAAAGCTGCCAGTGGAAATTTCCTCCCACACACAGAGGCACATGAGGAGAGAAGCAGCCACGCCACGTTAGGAGACTGCAAATGTCTTCCTCAGCAGCTTTTATGTGACATTTTGACCAAATCACTTCTCTGCCTGCAGATTCCAAACAGGGCGGTTGCACAGACCCAGGCAGATGCTGCTTCTCCCTTCCCGAAAAATATTCCAGCTCCCCTAATAGCAAAACATCTGTAAAGCTTCCACCAGACCATCTCAAACTGCTTTAGAACCTGAAGTGGTGTTACGGCAGCTGCCCCCAGGTGAACAGTGGTTCACATTCTTTCTTGAGTGTGTGAACAAATGGCTGATCCTGGCAGAGCAGGTTAACATCTGCCACAGTCCCACCTTTTGTGGCTTCTGGTGGTAAAACTGAGGCACAGAGCAGCAAAGGGCTGTGAAAAACACCAGAAATACAGCATAAGAGCCGTGTGTCAGGTCAGAGCCCTGGGCACAGGCTCATTCCAGTTTGCATTTGCGAAAACATCATCATACATTCAGGTTAAAACCTTCTGGGGTTTGTATATGTAAGAGCCCACGAGATGTAGAGAGATTTCCCCCACCCACCCACTTTCCTTTTTTAAATGTAAGTCATCTCTCTAGAAGGGAAATTGTGGTATTAGCAAATGCTTTGTTCTGGCATTGATCTGAGTTTTAGATGATGCTACAGTAGGAGATGAATCAGTTGTTCAGTCACTGCATGTACTTATTCAGGATCGGTTTTACTGGCAGGGCATTTAAATCTGAATGTGCACAACTAAAACTTGCCATAAATGCTGAACAGATCAGGCACTAGAGGTTCTAGAAACCTTTTAATTTAGTTTAGGCTTTCATTTGGTTATCGTCTTGAGCAATAATTGCTGCCCAGTCTCTGGAAGTGCAAACAACTCGTGGTAAACTTGGCACTTGCCAGGGCAAACCAAATATACATGGATCTGATCGTGTCAGCTGGATTGGCTTGTGAGAGACCTTGCAGAAGGAAGGGTACAGGATACACTTAATCCCTCCATCCCTCTCTTTTGGGACACTTCTCTGCTCAGTGCCTGGTTTCCTCTTCACATCTATCCCCAGAGTTATCTCATCTCAGCAGAATCTGGTATAAATGGGCTGTATCTGTTGGAGTAAACTGGTGCAGCCCCTGTCAAGTGAGGCTTGTGACAGGCTACAGCAGTGGATTGGCAGAGCACCACTTTTAGGGGGCATAACGCTGTGCTACCATGGGAAATACAAGTTGCCAAAGCTGTCAGCCCCTCGGTGCTGTTGTGGCAGGTTTCTTTTCTGCCCGAGGAAAATCCTCTGTGTGATGGTTCATACACTCTGTGGGTGCAAAAGGGGCCTGGCTGGGACAAGAGGGTTCAACACTGGGTGGCACAGGCTGTCTTTTATGGATCAGAGATTTACCACGGGGCTCGTTTCCCTTCCTGCCAGTCTCCTTGTGTCACAGGTGACCATTTTCTCTGGAGCACCGTGTTCCGTGCCTCGCAGGGAGCAAATGCTGTTTCATTACTGCTTGAGGTGGCAGCAGGAGCAGCAGCTGACTGGCAGCCAGGGGACGCTGGGGCTCGAAATAGAAACCAGACATGTGCAAACTTTATTTCCCATTAACTCATGCGTGTAATTTCCAAACTGAACAAGCTGAAGGGCTGGCTACAGCCACTTCGGCCATGCTAAGCTGGTGGAGCAGGAGTCAGAGGCATTTTCCTCTCCCTGTTTGCTAGCTTGAAGCGTAGGAGTGAGACCTTCCTCTGTACAATTGCTGTGAGTTCTATTGAAATGTGGTCCCAAACTTAGAAAACTCTTTGGAAATTTAATTTATATGTTCATATGTATTACAGAAAGTCACAGTGAGGGATCTTCATGTCGAAGGATGCTCTGGTAGAGGCTGGGTTAAGGTTTGTGCCTCACTATGCCCATCACATCCCACAGCAGAGCAGCCCTAGGATGGTTTTACTGCTCCTTCCACAGCACCGGGTGCTCTCAGCTGCAGCTGATCTTGCTTATAAGATCACATCCTGCAGTATCCATGCTGTAGCAGAGCCTCTGCTTGGATTAAAGGATTAGTGGTCACAAGGGATAAGGAGGACTGGTGTGGAACTTCAAAAGATTGCCAAGAGTTTGGCTCCAAAACACCCTTTGGGATAGCAGCTTTCAACTTACGCTGTTCCTTCCTCCTCCTGCCACCCCACACTCACATAGACTCCTCCTTCCTTTTGGTTAATGTGTTTCTGGTAACATCCCTCCTCTTCCTATTAAATCCTATTCTTTGTATTTTAATAGTGGCTGCTGGGAGGATCTGGTTTATTGGTGTTCTGATGTTTGGGGCCATTTGTTCTTTCAGTGCTCCCATTACTTTAATTGCTCCTGAAGTGGGTTCTAGTGTGTGTGTAACAGTGTGTGTCGAGAGTGAGGCTCTTCCATTTCTCTTTCGAATGAGAGTTGGAGGCATATAAGAGCCAGATCATTACAGCGTATCACTGGAGGCATCCTGTTGGATGGCTGAGGGTGTTATCATCGGTGCATGATATGAGATTACAGGATTAGCCATGGGGAATTAGGCAGTTGGTTCATCAGGTTCATTATCTACATCCCCCTGGACTACATCAGGCCACTGATTCAGCTGCTTCTGGCACTGCCCAACTTGTGGTGCCGAGGGATGCTCAGTGCAGCTGAATATGCAGTGCTCTTGGTGGGAGGAAGGGTTTCTTTTCAGGTATTTACATGATTACACATGCAAACCAAGGAAGCCAGTGTATTAGGAATAGTCCCTAAGGGCATTTCATGCTTTTGACAGAAGGATTCAACTGACCTGCCCACATAAACAACACCACAACAATGATGAGAACTTCCCCCGCTCGCAGCTGCTGGTTTTTCTTTGCCATCTCCTTCATTGTCACCTCATCTGCACAAGGGGAAAGAGAGATCATGAAACCCAACCACAGGGCTCAGGCTGCTCCAGTGCCCTGGACTCAACTCGTCAGTGTGTCAGGGTCTAGCAGGGAGAGAGCCTTCACCCCTCCGTCATGCCACAGCACAAGCTTCCTTCCTTTCCTTCCTTCCTCTTGCAGAGCATCAGCTGCAAGTTCATCTCCTGCAGGAGATGGGGCGAGGAAGGAGCAGGGAGGCAGGATCAACAGGCAGTTACCACAGAGGAGCTGCCGTAGGGTAAGTCCTCATGTTATCTGGCCCAGGGGCAGCTCTGCTCTGCCTCTGGTGTCTGCTGGTGCCTGTCCTAAAGCCTCGCATGCTCCAGCAGCTCCGCTCCAGCTCAGCAGTGTGGAGCCTGGCGTGGTTTTCCAGTGGGATTCAGAAATGAGCAGAGCCTTTTGGCAGGGCGTAATGCACCTCCTCAGCTTCAAAGCACTAAGATTAGAGCTCAGCCTCGGGGAAGGGATCAGCGCTCCTCTCAGTGCTTTCAGATGAGCAGCAATTCGGTATTTACAGGCACCAAATCATTTTAGCAGCAAGAGGCAAGAATTCACAACATCCCAGGAAGCACCAAGAGCCCTGCAATAGGCTGGGTCCTCAGGGGGCAGGCACTCACCCTTCCTGTCCCCAGCCCTCTCTGTAGTAATGATTCTTGCTGCCAGAAAACCTTCAACAATCTGCTTTGGCTTAAGAAGAACAAGTGAAGGAGCTGCCACAGAGGAAGTGCCTGATTTCCTCCATGGGAGTATTCCAAACCACACTGGATGTGATCCTGGACAACCTGCTCCACCTGACCGTTGCTGGAGAGAGGGTTTGGACTACATGATCTCAAGAGGTCCCTGCCAACCTCAGCTTGCTGTGATTTGGCAGGAATATGTGAAATGTAGGACAAGTGGGAGTCTCTGGGTAATTTTTCCCCTGCTGTCCTGCAATCCACGCATGGGAGGCTCAGTGAGCACCCTGTGAGCACAGTGGTGCTGTGCTCAGTGCCATCCGGGGGTCTAGTTCCACAGGAGTTCACAGGCTGCTCGGGGATTTCCCCTGGCATTCTCCACTTGCAAGGATGCTGGGACACAGCTCCCACTCTGGAAACCTTCTCCTCCTCACTTTGCCTGTTAAACCTCATGTGAAATGGGAGAAATGAACAGCCAGCCTTTGGCAGCACCTCCCTGTCAGCCTTGTCTGCTGGGGACACTTGGGGTGTCTTACACATCCATGTGGAGCCCCTGTGTGTGTTGAACCCGGGTATTCCCACTTCACAGGGTACCACTTCCCTCTCTACAGAGCCCTGCTCTGCCTGGGCATCCCAGGGCCCACGTAGGAACTCACCCACACTTGCCTTTATTTTTAGAGGCTAGTTTCTCAGCTTCCCTGGGGGTCTTGAAGAGGACTGGCTCACTGGCAGGGCTCTGGCCTTGGATGCTGATGGCCTGGACATGCACAATGTACTCGGTGTCCTCCTCTAGGTCCCAGAGGGCACAGGAGCGGGTGGTGGTGTTCACCTCCTGGATGAAGCGCAGCATCCGCACGTCCTTCTTCTGGAAGCCGAGAGAGGAGAGCAGAGAGTGGTGGAGAGGCCTCCCCTGTGCACTGCTGCTGTAAGACCACTGCTTTCTGCCCTGTCCACCAGGGACATGGAGACCATCGGACCCGATCCTCTCTGCAGCTACCAACACATGAAGCGCTGCTGCAAAGAGGACAGGGAGTCACGTCCCCTCCCAGGCCACGAGGGACAGGACAAGAAGGAATGGGCTTAAACTGCAGCAAGAGAACTTGGAAACTGAGGGTACCTGGGGTGAAGATGGATGTGACCGAAACTGGGTAACTGGAAGCACCATACCTGCTGGGAAATCGCAAATCCAATGACAACTTCATCTTCCAGAACATCCCAAGTCACAACGGCTGAGTTGGCTTTCAGGTGTTTGACTGTGACATTTACTGGAGCTGATGGGCTGTCTGCAAGGAGGGAGAGCAGAGCCTTTACACAGGCAAAGTCACAGCAGCAGGAGCTGGAGCAAGGGCAGGGAAGGGAGTGGGAAAGGGCCTGGCTCAGGGTCCTTCCTGTAGCTGGATATGGGACCTGGAAATGCAACTCTTAACTACCAGTGAGGTTCTAGGAGCTCTCTGCTGACAATACAAGTTGCATTAGACACATGTGAAAGAACTGACCCTTGGAAAGAGTTTTGACAGCAGAGCAGAGCACGGAGCAGCTCATTCATCTCACCCTCCCCAGCCACGTACCCCGTTCTCTCTGCTGTTTCCTATCACAGCCTGACAGTGACAGCTGGGAGGAAATGCAGAGTCTGCCTTGCAAGTCTGGGAAGGGAATGCTTTGATGAGCACTCTGGAGGCTTGAGATTCAGGAGTAGTAAATAGAAGTGTTTCTTTTGCTTTTCCCTGTTTGACAGGAGAGTTTTGGTACACAGTTTGTGCTTGATCCACTGTCTCTCAGGTGGTCTGAGAACATCCCGCAACTCCCCTCTCACAGTGAGCAGGGCAGAACACGCTGCTACACACCGATGGGCCATAGTCATGGGGAAAGGGCAGGCCATGGAAGCAATGGCCTGAGGCTCCTGTTTGTTCCTCACTCCAGAGCATGCCCTAGTTTCCAGCTGCAAGCTGGACTTGTGTAGCTGCCAGCTTCTTCCCAAGGGAGCTGCCAGTGTAAAGCCTTTCCTGGCATCTCAGGGGGAAGGTTTTACCTCGTGGGCTTGGCACGATCCTTCCAGTGCTCAGTGCAACAGGTTGGACTCCTGTTCCCTCTCCTCTGGTCAAATTTAATTCACATTCTCCACATTGTACCCTGAACTCAAAGGCACGACAAGACTGCTGAGACCCCGACTACCCTCAGGAGGTTGAGCAGGGTAAGGAGGAGTCGTTTCTTCTGACTTCCATCAAATATCACCTTCTTTGCTTTGTAAGCACTGCACAAGGCTGCCCTGCTGGGGCTGCAGGACGCACGTGTGCATGTCTGCAGTAACACTTGTTGGATTTATAGTCGGTCCCAGCCGCCTGATTGTGGCTGAAAATATTCTGGCTGTAGTGTCGGTGTCTCCTAACAAGTGACTTCACTCCTGGTGAATGTTCCCTCCGGAACAGAGAGAATAATGGGAGCACAGAATTCCCCAGCAAGGTCAGTGCTGCTCCACACTTAGCAGAGCGATGACCTTATTCCTTTCTTTCATCCCCAGCCAACACCCAGACCCGTCGGAGCTCCTCATTCTCACAGATGGGAGACAAACTCCCAGCAGTGAGACCCATTGGATGCCCAGACCCAGACTGATTCTAGTGAGTCCTTCAGTGAGCAGAGAAGATCACTGAAAGTGATGGTGTGACGAAGATCACATGGATTTGGGACTGGAGGAGGAGCAGCAGTTGTGGCCTCCAGGATTGAATAGGGGAGGTGTCCGTCCTCTCTGGAGATGATCAAGTCAGTATTGAGCCAGAGAATTCTCCTCTCTCAGGGGCTGCCCGTCATGAAATGAGGCTCTTGGAGAATGGGAGCATTTTCCATCCTCACCCTCCTGCAGCAGCAGGGCCAAGAACAAGCTGAGCAGGGGAGATGGATCATGCTCCTCAGGCTCAACACCAGTCCTGTCTAGACTCAGCTGCCTGCTGTGGCACAAGGAAGAGACAGGGCTCTGCAGCTCCTCACCTTCCCCCTGTGTCCAATGCCAACAAGAGTAGGGTCTAATTTTAGGAAGGGGCAGTCAGCAGATGGGAATGTGACAGGGAAGGTCCGTGAGTCATGCCTGATGAATTTGCTGGAACATAGGGAGGACATGACGGAGAGATGGGAGACAAAACAGTCTCCAGCCCGGCCCTTCGCCCTTTTCTGAGTACAGCTGTACATTAAATCCCAGCATGGGTGGCTTTCCTGGGTATTTTTAGGAGCTACATTTTTTTTAGGAGCTATCACTGATGATTTGCCCAGCTTAGGTTGAGGAGGCCTTTGTAAAGAGATGAATTAACCCCACAGCAGCAGAGAGCGGAGCATCAGGGAAGAAGCTTGAGGCTGGGAAAGGGGAACGTACATCGCGCTGCACTTGGTGCCCGAGTCCCCTTGGAAACCTGTGACCTTGAGGGAGGCAAAGCAGGAAAAGTGCCTTAAGTTTCCTGATGATGTAGAACCCGGAGGAATTGGGAAGACCTCACAGAGCTGGGGGAGAGCAAACAACTTCTCTGGGGGCTGGGGAGAGGGTGGAGAGCTGTGGGGCAGGAGGGAAGCACTCGGCAAAGCTGAACTCGGAATATAGGCAGGGGAGAAATCAGCTGGGGGGGGGGGGTCAAGAGTATGGTCTAGAAACACCCTTTTAGTAACCCCTGAGAGAGAGATGGGGTGGTTGAAGTCAGCAGATCGTACAGTGAGATCTAGGGCAGCAGATCTGAGCCTGCCTTTCCTTTCACTGCTGCAGATTAGGAGCAGCTACACTGAAATCAGTGGTGTCAAACCAGTGTAAAGGCAGTATGAGAGGAGAATTAAGAACGGCTTGACAGGAATACAAAGCCAGGGAAATCAGTTTCCTGCTCCCAGAGATGAGTGAATAATTTGGAACTAAAATTTTAAGCCACGAGGATGCTTTCCCCCCCATTCCCAGGCGATGCGCGATGAGATCATGGCTTTCTAAAATCTAACCACTCTTCCAAGAGATTCCACACTGCTTTTGGCTCCTTGGGCCAGTTGCAGCTCTTCCTTAGTACCAGCCTGGCTGAGGGCGGGTGGAGGAGATGTGATTCCTGTCTCCCAGCTGGCTGTAGGGGGTCAGCATCTCACAGGGCCTTGAGGTACCAAATCCAAATGTTTGATTCTTTCTAGACTCATCTGTGACTCCTGGAAACTTGGCTTTTGTGCCTGCAGCAGCCAGGGAAGCTACTGGTGTCCTGGGAGCGGGCATGGAGGGTGGGATGGTGCCAGGGGCTGTTCCTGCCCCATTGCGGGCAAGATAGCGGGGAACATGCCTTGCATCGAGCCTTCCTCATGCATGTTTACTCCAGGGATGCTGAGGATGGCACATCCCTTGTCTGGTCTGTAAGGGACTCATCTGGTGTAAGGTGTCTGGTTCAGCATCAGCTTCATCCCAGCTGCGGTGGCTGCTGAAGCACATCGCACGTTGCAAACAGGCAGAGGATCTGCTTGGCCAACTTGGATTAGGGCTGCGTGCTCGGATGAAAAGCTGCTCTTGTTCTCATATCAGCACAAATTGCAGCCCCACTTTAAGGGGAAGCCCTGATTAATGAAGATGAAATCATGATTTTTAAACGTGAGTGGCTGCTTCCAAACTGATCATGCTTAAACCGTGGCTTGTTTCCTTCCCACAGGGACCCTTCATGGGCCGAGCTGCAGTCCTGCATCCCCCTTGGGCCCTTCTGGCAAGAGCAGGTCAGAGCTGCCTCTGCACAGCAAGGAGGAATGAGCGATGAAGATTACCCGTAATCCCCTCTTAATGCTGAGAGCTCCTTCCAGCCTCTCATTAAACACTTTGCTCATTATTAATAGGGTTTTATTTAAGAGAGAGGCAAAAAAACCCCTCACACTTTGCAGTTTTGGGCTGGTTCCTCCCTGGCTTTTCATTATCGACACAGCGGCTGCTGGCACGAGGAGGAGGAAACCACCCGCCTGCCCCTTATGTTGACTTCACCATCAGAGCTGTGGATGGGGTGGGGAGGGAGAAGGAGAGGGGTGAAGCTTTGTACCCAGCCCACTGGGGCTGCTGATTGAGGGTGGTGGGGTGAGTAAAGGGGGTGTCCTGCCTGGCACCTCTAGGATCAGGGCACAAAGACACCCCTGGGAGGTGTGTCCTCTGCCACAGTCCTGCTCCTTCCTCTTCTTCTTTGGAAGCTGCTCTTAAACTGCAGCTTCAGCCTTGAGCTCTTACAGTGGGACAGGGGTTGAGAGCTCAGCCATGCAAACTGCCACGAGGGCCTTGCTTAGAGCTAAAGGAAGGACCTATGGAAATATCACACCCTTGGAGATCACCTCTGCCAGCCAAGCTCTGTGGCCAGGCTACAGGGTTTGAATTAAGAGTGTATTCCTGGATTTATCTCCCCAGCCAAGGCCCCCAAAACTGTTCCTTCTGAATACAAGTCTCCTGGAAACTCCAGCCACTTGGAAGTGCAGTCTCCTCCATGACTAAGGCTACCTGTAGTCACGGGTTTTTCCAATTCAGTTCACTCCTCTCCCACAAGCAGCTCCTTTCCTGCTGGGAAAGGCTCAGCTGCTTCCAAGCCCTCAGACATGGTCCAGTGAGCAGAGGGTCTGGCAGGCTCTGACATGCTCATTCAGTGCTATCAACCTGCAAGCTGCCTGCCTTTTCCTGTGGGAAGCAGGGAATGTCAGCCTTAAATCCCTGTAGCTCTTTATCCCTGCACCACATCCTTCCCTGCGGATGCAGGAGATGGAAGGACACGACCTGCCAGGGGAAGAAGCATCCCATGAGGTCCTGGGTGATGCTCTCTGTGAAGCACTGGGTGAGTGTGGGTACAAGAAGACCTGGTTTTGCTGCCTTTTGGAACCTTTCTTTGCTCTCCCAGCACAGCTCCCCTCAGCAGATAGAATTCCTTGTTGTCTTTATGGGGTATGGAGGAAGGGCTGCAGCTTCCCTGAGTATGTTCCTGGATGGAGCCTGCCAGGGAGTGGGAAGAAGCAGGGCCCACCACTGCACCCCACTACCATGGGGCTATTTGTTAAGCTCTGACTGTTTCAAATAGCTGAAAGACCAACTGGTGGTTCTTCAGGCTGGGAAAGAGGCATTTATTCCCTGCTGACCACCCACTCCCTGTGCAAACAGGATATTAATAAACCAGCTCTCTCCTTACTCCCCCAGAGCCCCAGTGCTGAATCCCCATGGAGCGGGTACCCAAATGTGCACTGGGAAATGCTGTCAAGGAGGATGGAGCTTGTTCAGGGAGCACAGTGATGCTCCGTGTGTCCAGCCTGGCCATTGGGAAGAGTGTCC